TTCTTTCTTTTTAAAAATGAATTTATTGGGTAACCTTGGTTATTACATTATATGTTTCAGGTGTACAATTTTTTATGAAACATCATCTGTATATTGTATTGTGCACTCACCACCCAAAATCTAGTCTCTTTCCGTCACCAAACGTTTAGCATCCCTCCACCCTTTCCCTCTGTTGTCTGTATCTATGAGTTTGTTGTTTTTTATTTTTAAAAAGAGCCACTTCAGTTCCAATCAGAAGACACTACACTTTTTGACTGTTTCTCAGCTACCAACAGATGGAAACTGAGCTTCCACAAATCCTTGAAATACTTTGTGTCCATCTCTCAAAAGTCCAATCAGCTATACAAAAAGCCATACCAGCTAAATGGTCTAGTAAAGAAAACCAAAAAAAAAAAAAAAAAAAATCCATTAATTATGGTTTGCCTAAATGTGCAAAGCACTAAGAATTTATATCAACTCATTCAATCCTGAGAACGTCACTGTCCCTTTTATAGATTCCAAGACTTACCTGCCCAGGGTCACAAAGTAAATCCAGTACCTGGCTCTTTCCTCTATGTGGCACTACTCCTAAAGATCAACTATGATTTTCAATGCTAATTTAATAAAAAGATAGAATGAACAATTTTTCAAAGATTCTTCAAAAGGTATTACAGTGAGATCTGAGAACTGGCCTTAATTCATCTAGCTTTAAAAGCCAAAATCAAATTAAGCAATTAGAAACAGCATATGCCAGAAATTCACCAGACTGTTAAGCTTTCAGGTAAGATTTACGGACAAACAGTAACAACGGCCAGGGCTCACATGTACTTTATTGTCGCCTCCAATCTCTGTCCAGGTCAAGGCCATTCAGAAATAACTTTTATTGTTGGCTCTCTAAGGGAAAACAATGAAATAAACTTACATAATAGAGGAATGGCCAACTTTTTAAAAAAGTCATTTCACTCCAACTCTGCTGGGAATGACTTGTTCTCTAGAGGGTGTCAATCAATTTCATTTCATTTTAAGTATTACAAATACATAACGATGCCTATATTAGATCCTTTAGCAGAGAAAGCAGTTAAGGTGATTGGATTTTAACATGCACATCACAAAATATATTCATCTATATTTCCTTCCTAAGTATTCCCCTTAGAAAAATTCCTTCAGAATCCAATTCTGTTAGTTTCTCCATCATGACGTATAGATGATACTAAGATCATATTCATATTGAGACCAAGATGGTTCCAAACCTTAAAATTAATTATACAATTAATTTCTTGTTTCCTGGCTAGTGAATTGTAACTTCTCCCTAGAAAAATGTAGGAACCCAGAAATTTAAAGTTGCTTAACAGCCTGGCCACGGTGGTTCAGTGGTTGAGCATCGAGCTATGAACCAGGAGGTCACTGTTTGATTACCGGTCAGGGCACATGCCCGGGTTGTGGACTCGATCCCCAGTGTGGGGCATGCAGGAGGCAGCCGATCAATGATTCTCTCTCATCATTGATGTTTCTATCTCTCTCTCTCTACCCCTACCTTTCTGAAATCAATAAAGACATATATTTTTTTAAAGTTGCTTTACTAGGAAATTTTAGTTCATTCTCTAAGGCAGCGGTTCTCAACCTGTGGGTCGCGACCCCTTTGGGGGTCGAACGACCCTTTCACAGGAGTCGCCTAAGACCATCGGAAAACACACATATAATTATATATTGTATTTGTGATTAATCACTATGCTTTAATTATGTTCAATTTGTAACAATGAAATAGGGGGTCACCACAACATGAGGAACTGTATTAAAGGGTCGCGGCATCAGGAAGGTTGAGAACCACTGCTCTAAGGTATCCATCCCCATTTAAAGGAAAACAACTTAGTTTGATGTCACCGAAAAAGCAGGCAGCATACCAGGATGTTATAATTTAGAACTTTCTGTCTACTCATCTCCTCCTCCCTAACAAAATATGAAAAATCTAAAACTCTACAAAAAGGTAATATGATAAAGAAAAATCAATAAAGGTGGCCCTCAACAATGAAGGTTTAAATAAATAAATAAATAAATAAGGTCCTGACTAAATTCAACTAGATGAAGAACCTAGGACTGGGTAAATCCACAAAGTAACTAATTCGTTTTCTCTCTAATATGAAGCAAATACTAGAAAAAATGGTCTTTCACAAGCAGTATCATTCCTTCAAGCCAGAATATATATACTCCCCCTCAACAAATTACATTGTACCTATTTTCAAAAATAATTAAAATTCCTATTAGACACAATTACGGTGTACACTTGAAAGATATATATATGTGTGTCCTACTGCGAGTAGAAACCTATCATTAGAGCCAGACTGCCTGGGTTTGATTCCTGGCTCCAACACTTACCTTGTGCTGTATTTCCCTACGAAAATGATTTAAGTTCTTTGTGCTTCAGTTTCTTCATCTGTAAAATGAGGCTAACAGTACTTACCTATCACTGGCAGTTATAAAGGGTTATTGAATGTGTAAAGTGCTTAGAACAAAGTTTGGCACATAGTAAGAAATTAAGTGGTGGATATTATTATTACACACTAATTGTTTGATGCTACCTCATCAGTTGGTGAATGATGAACGGATAAACTCCATATGTGTCTATGCTATATAGCATGTGTCTAATCTATATATTCGTATCTTCATTTATATGTTCAAATAACATTTTTTTATTAAATACCTACTATATCCCAGATCCTTATTTTAATTATTGAGTTTGTCACAATAACACATTAAAGACTATTACCATTTGCATTATACAGATGAGAAAACGTGCTAGAAAGATTGGAGATGCCAGACACAAAATTAGGTTCTGTTAATACTATGTCAATTTTTGAAAGCAGCATGTACAAAAAGGTTGGATCTCATCAGAATGCAACTGGAGGAAAAAAAGAAAGCCATTAACAGTGAACTTAGTGATTAGAAAACAAAACCAAATGCTTATATTTAACAATCTACAGTCTGTAAAAAGCCTCACAACTCTGGAGCTAGAGAAACTAAGAGATTAAGCAGCAGGCTGAAAATCACAGCTAGAAAATGCTACAGGCAAGACCTGAATCAAATTGATCTGGCTCCAAGTGTAGTGCTCATTCTGCTTCTATATCCATAGTCAAATGGGCAAAATGCATTTACTGCTGTGGCCCCAAAATCTGGAGACTCTGCCTTGGGAGCTGGCATCATGGGAATGTGCTCAGCCTGGTTTGATGGAGGCTGCCTCCCGGATCTATAGAGCTCCAATTCTAAAATGGCTTCAAGCACTGCATGATGGGAAATGTACAGAAGATTATAGGGTAGGAGCCATACCCCAGGGGCTGACAGTCCATAAATATTTACTACTGATGAATGAAGATATTCAATCTGAAAACCAGGTGTGTGGTCTCTAGGCTAAATCACCTCACCTGTCATAAAGACTCCATCTGTAAGATGGGTGAATGGTTTCTTATCTCTTTGAAAGGAGGGGCTAGGAAAATAATTCAGCAGTTGCTACTGAATTATTAGCCTTCTATTTTGAAGACCACAGGTTACAATTCTAATTTGGGTCCAGAAAATGGACAGGTTTTATCCTTATCATCCTGTGTGCTGCTAAGGACATAGAAAATGAGGGCTCAGGTAACAGAGATACATACTCCAAAATTAGGAATGGGGTGTATTGGAAGTGTTTAAGAAGAAAATCACTAAGAACCAAGTAATATTTATACATTTAAGTTTCTAACAGGAAAATGCAAAAAAAAAACCACAAAAACCCTGAGTAGCCACATGTTCTGTTCTAGAAACTGCACATATGTGTGGTTTCATTCGAACAATTGAGACAGAGAAATGCAATTTTTATATTCTTACAAGAAATGCTTCATCTTTCTGTTTGGGCTCCTGTGGCCTCCTGATTTTATATGTTCATAGCACCATCTTGACAAATCCTATCTCCCACACAGGGCAAGTAAAATCAGAGCCTGATGCTATCTACCCTTACCAAAGAGAAGAGCAGTGAAGGCAAGGACACGAGACATGAATTCTTAGAGAAAGGTTGGCAAATTGTCTTACCAATACTGCCACCTTTGAAAACCTCATTACATGCAGAATTCTCCATTTGCAATAGACAAAGATGTACTCATCAGATGAAGACAAGGGCCCCAAATCACTTCCACCCTTCCCTACCACCAGGGAGGCCATCAGGCAAATTTCAATCCTAAAAACATGCTAACACACAGTATGGGGGAATTTTGGGCGAGGACACAAAAGGCTCTGGCATTAATGACGGTAAATACCGTGGGAAAATATTCGATTCTCAGCCTCTGACATTTTTTCCCCACTGAGGATCCGATCTGACTCAGTAACCGGTTCCAACAAATGCATTTTCTTGATGCAAACCTCAACCCTGTGCTTCCCAGGGAATCTCGGGTCCCACCGGGCTCCAAAACCAGAGAACGATGATGAAAAATGGCTTTGCTGCAAAGGGGGAGGGGGGTTATCTCTCTGCTCTCTCCCAAGGTTAAACCCCTTACTCATCCTGGGGGAGTCAAGCAGGCGCACGGAGGCTCGAGAACTCGCCCGCATTTGGTTCAATTTTAATTTCTGGAAACCGGAAAGCAAGGAGCAGGGGTGACAGGGCTGAAAACGTCGGATCTCAACACCCAAGGTGCAGGGAGGAGTCGCGCGGGGATCGAAACTGGGCAGTGAGGCAGGGTCCGGGTGCGCGCCCCGCTATCCCTTCCGGTCCGGTCCGGAGCCGCACCCAACCCCCCGGGCAACCCCTTGGCGGCGAGGGCGGACGGGCCTCTCCCGGGAGCCGAGGGGCCCGGCCCCCGAAACCAGGGGAGGGGCCCCCCGCCGAAGCCCGGGCCCCCCCCCCCAGGGGGACCCCGCGGGGCCTGAGGAAGGGCCCCCCCCCCTTCTCCTGGGAGCCCACCCGGGGGTCGCCCTGGTCGCCGCCGCCACCCCCCGCGAGTGGGGGAGCTTCGGGCTTTGGGCCCCGGGGGGCCCCCGGGCAGGCCCCGCACCGCACTCACCGTGGGAGGTCGGCAGGGGCAAAGACGATGGCGAGCGGAGCTCCGAGCCGCGGCGACCGCTTCCTTCCCAGGCCCACTCCTCAAGCAGCGGCGGCGGCTGCAGCGGCGGCACGGCAGCTACCCCGGCTCCGGAATCGGCGGCGGCGGTGGCGGCAGCTCCACTTCCGCTCCGGTCACCACTTCCGCTCCGGCCCGAGCCCCGCCCCGTCCCCTGCGCCGTCTCCTCATTGGGCGAGCGGGGCACGGGGTTGCCCCGGCCGCCCTAGAGGGGCGCTGACGGAGGGAGGAGGAAGCGGACCGGAGGGCCGGGAGGCCGCGGGCGCGGGAGGGCGGAGGGCGTGGGCCCGGAGCGAGAGGGAGGCGGGCGGAGGGGGGCGGAAATAAGGGCGGGGGAGCGGAAAGAGGAGGTGGGAGGGGAAGGGGCGGTGTGTGGGGGAGGGTCAAGGACTGGGCCGTGTAGGAACCTGGAGAACTGGGCGCGGCTCGGGGCTGGGCGGGCCCGAGGCCGGCTCTACTTAGGCTAACACTCGCGGGGGCCAGGCCGAGGGACTCCGAGGTCCTCGGTTCGCACCCCACCCAAAACGTAATCGCCACGGTGTCGGAGGCAGACATCTGCCCCTTTCGCTCTGTCCGTTGGGAAACTGGACCTAGGGAAGGACAGAAATTGCTCATTCCTAAATTTTCTTTTAATCCTCTGTTCAGTCCTTCAGGGTACTTAGCATTTCCTCCTTTGTGGACTGAAGAGGTGCCAGAAATTGAACCCGTAAAGGTCTGTTTTTGAAGTGTCTATGATCTCTTCATTGAATACTCCGCTTCCCCAGCTCTTAGAGGAAGCTTACGGAAAGGTCTCTCCATTATTAACATTCTCTTCCTCCCAAGGCAGTTGACTTTTTTTTTTTTTAATTGAACGTATTGGGATGATATTGGTTAGTAAATTATATAGGTTTCAGGTGAAGGAGGTTGACAAATTCTTCAAATGCCTCTCACCTCCTCTTCCTTTCATCCAGTCTTTCAACAAATGGCTATTGAGCAGACGGGGTGCTTAGTGTTGGAGACACAGCAAGAACAGGACAGAGGGGGCCTGGCCTTGGAGCGCACAGTCTGGGAGGAGAAAGAACAAAGTGAATAGGTCTTTGTCATCTCTCCTTTACCCTGACTCAGCTTAATGATAGATTTCTAACTCATCACTTTACCCTCAGCCCTGCCCCCATCGACTCCCAAAGCGATCTCTTAAACGTGCTATTCTAACCCTGTCCCTTTCTTGCTTAAATCCTTCGGTGATGACTCAGACCTGGAAGATCATTGATAAGCACCTTGAGTGTGACAGGGTTCTCCAAAAGCTGCCCTTACCCTTTAGCCTTCCCCAGCTCTTTGTCCCCTAACATAAAACCCCAGTTCGACTGGATGATTCCTCCTCCTCCCAATGTGCTTGCTCCAGTATTTCTAAACCGTTGGAGATATTTCTGTGAACAGAAATCTGCATCTCTGCCTTGTCTGGTAACACTGTGTCCACATTTCTGTGTGGCAACATTTGGCTCAAGCCAAGGAGTGGCTGCCCACTCTAGATCAGGCATGGACTTTTCCGAGTGCCAGGGACCCCTCCTGATCCAGTCTGCTTTCCTCGCTCATGTTATCTGTCCTATAGGCATTTGTGCCAGTCACCCCTCATCCCACCTTTTAACTTGAACAAGATTGAAAGAGTGTTGTGTAATGAAAACAGCATGGATTTGACATCAAAACCACAGGATCTGAACCCCGGGAAAGTTTCTCAGTGCAAAAACTTCCCCGTGGGGATATCCAGAGACTGCTCAGGTTGAAATAAGCCTTAGTGTGATGTGACTGTGCCTTATGCCCTGATCCAGAAAATAGCCTAGTGGGTCACAGGGCTTGTGGTGATTACACCACAAATGACATCATCCGTGTACGGAGGGAACAGAAGTACCCTTTTGCCAGGCATCCCTGGGCGCCTGCTAATGTGTTGCATGGGTTCCCTGCTTTCACCATCTCTGCATTCTGGGCCAGGGGTCAGCAAACCACAGCTATTAACTGACAGAGACACAAAGAGATACTAACATACACTGCGGTGGATGCAGCCATCACAATATACCGTATTTTACCGTGTATAAGATGCTATTTTTTTCTAAAATCGTTAGATTGAAAATCAAGAGGCATCTTATACACGAAAGTCAGCTGAGGGGGGAGCCACGCAAGTGCATAGCTGCCCTTACCTGGTCAAACAGACTTCCTCCAATCACGAGTCTTATTATTATTGACTTCAGCTAATGCTGTAATTGGAGGTGGAGGTGGAGAGTGGGCAGATGCAAAAGGGACCAGAGCATTCTGAGCCCATAAAGATGTCAAAAAAATAAAAAGATACTAAATACCAGTAAGTGATTCTCTTACTCTGCAAAATTCAAACTGAATGTAATCAGTTATACAAAAGAGCATGGAAATAGAGCTGCAGAGAAAAAAAATTGGACCTCTTCCCACTGAATGTATGAGCAGACAGTGGAGAAAACAGGAAGAACAACTCTTTAAAATGCCCAAAAAGAAGAAGGCCTTAAGAGGAAAACCAGCAACATGCTTTAAATATTGATTTCTTAATTTTGGGTTGGAAAAGTGGGGGGTGTCTTATACATGGGGGTTTCTTATACACGGAAAAATAAGGTATGTGCCCAGGATATTATGGGAGCCTGGGATAAGGGCACCTAACCCATCTTGGGAATGTGGTGGGAGAGTAGGAAAGACTTCCTGAAAGAAGTGATACTTGAACCTTAGAGTCCATATTGAATTTTTTAAAAATTCATAAATTTTATTTTTTTAGAACAGCTTTAGGTTTACAGAAAAAGTAACCAGAGGATACAGTTCCCATATACCCAATCTCTCCCATCCACTGTTTCCCCTATTATTAAAATCTTACATTATGTGGTACATTAGTTACAATTTATAAACTAATGTTGATGCATTATTATTAATTAAAGTCCACAGTTTACATTAGGGTTTATTCTTTTTGTTGTATAGGTCTATGGAGTTTGATACATGCATAATGTCAGGCACTTGGCATTCCGGTATCATATAGAACAGACTCGCTGTCTTAAAAATCCCTGTGCTTCAACTATTCAAACCCCACTCCCTCCTTCACCCCAACCCTTGGCAATAACTTCTCTTATACTTCTTAGTTTTGTCTTTTTCAGATGTTATATAGTATATAGCCTTTACTGACGATTCTTTCATTAAGCAATGTGATTCTTTCATGTTTTTTCATGGCTTAAGAACTCATTGCTTTTTATCGCTGAGTATTATTCCAGTTTATGAATGTTCCCGTTTCTCCATTTATCGACTGTTTTGGATTGACTTATGTCCTCCAAAAAGATATGTTGAAATCCCAATCCATGGTACCTATGGATGTAACCTTATTTGGAAAAGAGCCTTTGTAGATGTAATCAAGGTGAGGTCTTCAGGGTGGGTTCTAATCCTATATGTCCTTATAAGAAGAAAATGGCATGGGGAGACACACAGGGGAGATGACAGAGGCAGTGATTGAAGGGATGCAGCTACAAGCCAAGGAATGCCAAGGATCCATAGCCACCATCAGAAAGTGGGAAGATGCAAGAAAGGATTCTACCAGCGTCTCAGAAGGGCATGGACCTGCTAAAACTTTGATTTCAGACTTCTAGCCTCCAGAACTGTGAGAGAATACATTGGGTTGTTTTAAGGCATCCGGTTTGTGGCACTTTGTTAGCAGCTATAGGAAACTGATCCCCCTCCTGGGGGACATCTTGAGTCAGCTTTTGATGAATAAAGCTGCTATAAACATCTATGTACAGGTGTATGAGTGGACATAAGGGTTCAACTCTTGGGTGAGTACCTGGGAGCATAACTACTAGATTGCATGTTAAAACTATGTTTAGCTTTGTCAGAAACTGTCTTCCCAAGTGTCTGTACCATTTTGCATTTCCACCGGCAATGAAAGGGAGTTCCCGGTGCTCCGTATTCATGCCAGCATTTGGTATTGTCGGGCATTGGTTTGTTCTGTCTTGTTTTTCATTTCAGCCATTCTTACGTAGACATGTAATGGAAGAACCTGGTTTGTCTCTCCAAAAGTTTCCTTTTGTTCCTAATATTCTGAAATTTCATGATTAATGGCCTTGATGTAGTAGGTCCCCTTCCTTCCCTGTTTCCTTTATTTCCCTCCCTCCCTTCCTTTTCCCCTTCCCTTTCCCTTTTCTTCCATTTCTTCCCTCCCTTCTTTCTTCCTCTCTTTCACTTTTTATTATGACCATTTTCAAACACAAAAGTAGAGAGAATAGTGCAGTAAATGTTTTACTAGTTTTAGTTTGCTATTTAGTTTACCATCACCTAGTTTTAGTTTACTATTCTAAGTCAGGGTGGGGAGGGGGGTTTTGTTTTAAAGTCACCATAGCTATGGCTCAGAGGTTAGGTTGATACTGATCACATGAAGCTGGGGACCCGGCACTGGATGGGGGAGTCTGGACACTGACATTTGGCTCAAAAGTAAAGTTCAAAGACAACAGGACTGTTGTTTGGCTTGAATAAGAAGTTGAAATTGCAGGGAGGTTTATGCCATGTCAATGCCCATGAGGTCTTTGATATCCAACCAAATTTGGCTTTTCGTTTTAATGGAACAAAGGCTGAAATCCTGACTCCGAGAAATCTATAGGTATAATCAGAAACAGAGCTTCCATTGCTCTCACTAACTTTTCCAGACAAGAGTAAGCTGTGTTAAAGAGACCAGAACTCTCCAAATTCACTGAATTGAATTTTGGTGATATAATCTCCTTTGCTTTCAGATAAGTGAGGTCACTGGAAAGGTAGGCATCGTTAATGTTTTAAAAAAAAAGGATTATGAATCTGTATTTCTAGTTCATGAGAGCTGAATCAGAAATCAGTTTCACAGTGTGTCGAGGCTTTGCAGATTTCTACCTGCAGAGAAAGTGACAGGGCATTGTCACGCTCCAGAGCTACCCGCCTCCGCTCTCTTCAGCGTGCCAGCTGGGCAAAAAGAACCATTAGTTTATTGAGTGTTCGTGTGTGTATTTAAAGAATGATATTTTTTAGCATTTAATTTTAAGTAAGAAAACATCTGCTGTATTCCTTTGAACTACTGTATTTTTATTGCATGGTGATGCATGAATATATTTTTATTGTAAGAAAATGAAAATA